ATATGCTTAGTGAAGCATAAATGCAATATGATGAGAACAGCAAACAATTGCACAATTGAGCACAAAGATCTAAGAAATTGCAAAACACTAAGTCAAGAAATAATGACAAAACAAATAAGCAGCCTCTTTTTAAGACTCAACAGACGAGACAACATAGATGAATTAACAAGGCTCAGAATAGCTCAAGGATATCAGAAAGCAGGCCTAACAGAAGACATTTGAAACAATAAAAAGAAAATAGAAACTGAGAAGTTTTGGAAAAACAACTTAGTCTGTTAAATAATAACTAAAGCAAAGAAAATAGGAATAAGCATTAAAGCAGAAAAACCTCTATAGAAAGTTTATGATTATGGTAAACAGATAAAAGACATGTTAGAAACAAAAACATGAATAGCAAGTAGTAGCACAATAAACGAATGGGAGTTACTATATCTGAACCAACTCATAGACATTAAAAATAACAACCTGATCACATGGAGACAGCTGAAGAGCCTTTAAGACCTGTCATGCAAATGAAAGAAGGCTAAATGGTTTAGAGAGATAGAAGAAAAGGTGCTAAGAACACAAGCAAGTAGAGAAATACAAAATAATTACAAAGTAAGAAGATACAATACACAAGCATTAAAGATTAAGTGGACAAAGATATCTAAAGACTGAAGAAAAAAAGAATGTATCACTTATAAACTGAAACACAATCAACAATTAGGCAAAGTAATTAAGAAGAAAAAGAAAAAGGTGTTAACAGAACACTGGTCAATGTATACAGAAAAAAGGAGGACAGTAATAGAATTAAGTTTATGCAAAGGTTGTGAAAACGGTTCAAAACAAATGACTAACAAGTGCAAAAGATGGATAAGACAAAACCACAATATGAGAGTAATACCAGAGTTACTAATAGAGAAAGCCAATAATAGGATCAATGCAATACTAGAACAGATACAAGAAGATAGAGCAATAGAAGAATAGAAAGGAGATGAGATGAAATTGTTAGGAATGAGACAAACAGAAGAATTAGAAGTAGAACTAATTAGAAAACAGAAACTCAACAATGTGATTACAAATCAGTTAGTAGAGATATTAATGTGAAACAAGAAGAGAGACAAGAGAAAATACAGCTTTTATACTGATGGAGCACTATACAAGAAGAAAGGTGAAAACAGTACAAAAAAAATGGGTATTGGTTAGGTGCAAATAGAAGAAGAAGAAGATTGGCCAGAGGAAGAAATCGCATTGGAACTTGAAGGTTGGCCTTCAGCAACAATAGCAAAATTAGCAGCAATATGGACAGCAATCTTAACAGTACCAGAAATAAAAGTGTAGAAATGTTTACAAATAGCATTGCAGCATTAAGAAACATTAGTAAAGCACTACAGAATATAGAAGAAGAAAGAACTCTAAAGAAGAAAAACACAATGTAAATACTAAGCATTGTAGGTCTAATCAAGAACAAGAACATTAAGATAGAATTAATCAAGATTAAAAGCCATAGTGAAAACAAGTGGAATGACAAAGCAGACTCTCTTGCAAAGAAAAGAGCAAATTGCCAAGATAAAATATATGCAGATAAAGTTAAAAGTGACAAGATAGAGTACTATTTAGAATGGAAAAACAAGAAAATTGACATACCAGCAAGACTTTTGTATAAGATAATAGCAAATGCCAGAATAGAAGCCAGTTGAAGAGAAATAAACCCAATATGAACATTAGAACCAGATACAGAAAATGCATTATATAATTGGTCAAGCTTTTGAAAAAAAATGAACAGAACAAAAAGAGTACATTGTATGTCAAGAAAACTTAGCACAAGAAGAGCTACAGCAATTAAATGCATAATGAATAGCCTATCAATGCTTAAAGAGCTAAATAAAAGAAAACCAAAAGTATATACAACAGCAGAGTGCCAAGTATGCCAAGTTGGAGAAAAAGAAACTTAGGCACATTTAGTGAGTTGCAGCAGACAAAAAAGCCTGTAGAAGCGAATTCAAAAGGTTGCAATAGCAACAGTATAGAACAGACTCAAGGAAGAGGAAAAAAACAGAATTTTATTACAAGTTTTATATAAGGCATTATTTGAAGAAACAGAAGTTGAAGAAATCACAAACAGAGAAGTGCTGATAAAGAAACTCATGATATTAAAAGTAGAGAAAAGACTCAAGTGATTCTTAAGCAAACAGGAAACACAGAAGTGCATAGATATAGTAACAAGAACAGTATAGAACATCTTCTATGACCAAGTATGAAAAGTATGATGTGAAAAAATACAAGCCTGGGAGAAGAAGATCAATATAACAAACAAAATAAAAAAAGAAAGAGTTAAAACAAAGAAGAGAGTAAAAAAAAGATAAATAAGCAAAAGAAGAAGGAAAAGAAAGAAAAGCAAAAAAGCTAGACCAAATGAAGAAAAAAGCTATGAAGACAATAAATATGCTTGTTACAGAAGAGATAAGACCTTTCTAGTATGGCTTTAAGTAGTTAGATAAGCAGTCTATCTTTAACTAAGATAGTGTGACAAGTTGCACTTAGGTACCATTAGAGTGGCCGAGTGATGCTAGACTTAGATATTGGAAAATTCTATATAATTGTATAAATATATAGTTTTAAGAATCTTAATAAAGTACTAGCATAACTGCTTAAGGTTAAAAAAAAAATATATATATATATACAATAATTTAGCTAATTAACTTGCACATAACCATTATAACTTGCCATATTTTACTTTTATATTATATAATATTTATAATCTAACTTATACTCTTATTTTTGAGAATTTTTTTCTTAAGCTACCAACTCATTGCAATATTTATATAATTTGTTATGCACATATTTATGCACTATGGATTACTCAAAACTATTTTTATAAATAGAAAAAAATTTTTAACCAAATCAACTAGCAAGCCACCTGATTGTATATCAACAACAATCAAAAAATTTCAACCTTTTCATATAGCTTTTAATCATCTACTTTTAAGTTTTTTAGAATTAAAATTTTACTAAATGAACTTTCTGTCTTATACATTTTATACAAATATTATTATTTATATCCACCTACCTGTTACTAATATCATTATACCAGCTCTTACCTTCATTAAACAACTTGCCCATCTGATCAACTATTAAATAATCTTATAAATGACTTGTTACAACATATTCTTAATATTACTACTCTTAATACTATTTTAGAAATCATAACTAACCTATATTATCAAATCAAACAACTAAACTGCATGTTTATTTACAGTATACTAAACCTATCTTTAAATTTTTCAACTCTATCAGGCTTAGTATTAAATGAAATTATTACTATAGTTACAGACTTATCATTTACAAAAATATTTATAACACTTATTACTAAATTCTTACTTCATCTTAATCAACAAATTTATTACAAAATTTGGATTCCTTACTGTATTTCAAGATCTACAATTCATCTTCTTACTTTTAATTTACCTTTTAATTCTATTTTGCAATTAATGCAAACTTCTTCTTTTAATACTATTAGCTATAAGATTAATTCTTGATATATACAATAGATTAAATATCAAACTAATCTCTTATATATTATTACTAATATTCAAATCTAGATGAGCCTTGGCCACTCTAGTTAGTTTAGATTACAGATAAATTAATCTAAGCTTCTATTCTTGCTATAATATTTTAAAACTAGATTTAAATTTTATATAAAAATCTCAGTTAAATATTCAATAAAAATAGAGACATAGCCTCATCATTAAAAAAAAAAAAAAAAAAAACACTAGTATGTGCTCAGGCATATATGACATCTAGAGTAGTGATGGTAAATGACCTGAAATGACCCATGTGACCTAAATAAATAGTGACTAGTCATTAGTTATTTTAAGACCTTAAATGACTTAGAATGTCATTTAATATTTGTTAACTAATAATTTAACATCTTTTAGCCAATTAAAATTAATTATTACAAAATTAATTTTTATAAAATGTGATAATAATTATAACTATATACTGTATATAGAAAACAAAATATACATATAATTAAAAATTGTAATATTCAAAACTCAAGCTAAACTAATATCTTAAATATTTAAATTAGGGTGACTAGAAATATATGTAACCAAATGTTATTAGATCATATCCTCTAACTTGTTAATGTCTTCAGTATTAGAGATCGACCCTTGAAAATTCAAATATACAATAAATATGCCCGCAGCTAGGCAATAAAAATAAAATATGTGTAACTAAGCTAATTAGAGACGACTTGTAATATTATTTGTCTAAAATTTGTATTACAAAAGTAATAAGATAAATGAAGAAAGCAAAAAATAAAAGAATAAAATAAAACTTACAAAATCCAAACTTTCAAAAAACCAGACTTGAGAAACATAATAGATGCTAAAGTAAATTAAAAAAAAAATAAAATTAAAAAATTAGATTAGTAATATTATAAAGTAATATATGAAAAAAATTAAAATAACTTTTAATAATTATTAAAATTGAAAGTTTACTTCTTTTTGTTATTCGAATGAATTATTGATAGTCTGTTAAATAAGCTTAGTTAAAATTAGTGCTGGCTTTACTCTTTTTTTATTTGTGTTAATTAATAAATTTAAGTAATTGTATACTAATAGTGTTCTGCGATAGTTAAAGAAAAAAAAAAAAACCTTAAGCATGTATATATAAATAAATCATCACTATTAATTTAAATCTAACCAATTAGACATACTATTTGTAATATGTTTAAATTATAGATTCAAATTTACTAATTACTAGAATTTTTATTTTCAATTCTTGTGTTCAGTGGCTTTATGTTAAAATGCTTTGATACAACAATCAATTTTATTTTTGCTTGTATATCTGTGAATCATTTTAAGAGTCACATGTTTGACACTATGCCTTTGATGTTGTATTAGTTCAATTCTATATTTCTCTAACTTAAGAAAATTTACTAAATTTTATTAAATAACTAATGAACAAAAGAAACAGGTGCTTCTAATGAATCATCAAATAATTCCAACAAACTCCATTTGGCTGATAGATTATCTACTGGATGAATAATATGCCCATGCAATTCAAATTCAAGTGGTTTACTATCTACAACATTACTATTATCTAAACAATTCTCACTATCCAATGAACTAATCAGGTTTTTCATCATATGTGACCAATTTTCTTTAATATCATCAACTACATCTTTATTATTCATCTTAGTAATTTCACTTAATTGAATTGATAAATCATTTGAAACTAATAAATCAGTTTCTTCATTATTACTTTTCAGTAAAGAAGACTCTGTCAATTTATTTCGTGTTACATCTTTATTAAAAGGTTGGATAGGGGTTATGATATGGATTCATTTATACTGCTGTTCATTCTTTTTGACTTCACTATGTTTTCTCTTGCTAAATATATTACTGCATAACTGGCTCATAGCTAGTACCTTGTTATACTAAAATAAATAAACAAAATTTAAGTAATAGAAAATTATTGAAATTGTGTTCACCAAAAAAATTTCTACCTAGGTATTATTAAATTACCTAGTTATCCAGGCAATTTACCTAGTTATCCAGATAATTTATTATAGCTATCTAATAAAAATGCCTATCCAGGTACAATCTCTAAAAAATTATAAGAGCTAAATAATATATATACAGGCAAGTGATTTTAATGTTTGATATGTAAAAACCCTATAGACGATCATAAATGTTCAACTGAAGCAGCATTAACACAAATGCCAAATAATTGTAGAGCCAATCAAGATAATTCAGGTGCTAATCCTTTTGCAGATTCCCAAAAATCTATAATGTTTTCATTAAATTGATTATATGTTTCCTTATTAAAAAGAAATTTCTCCCTTTGATATAGTAGAAACTCATGCAAAATATGTGTTGGTATCTTGTCAAACCATACATAATAATAGTAGTTGATCTATTAACCAAAATGTGAATAAGAGAGACCTGAAACATTAGAAGAAAATTTAGAGAGTCTATATTTTGAGTGTAAAACAAATAACAAAAGAAGTAAGGGCTGTTTCCATTGTGCCTATCGATTTTCTAATCAGGTTACTATATAATCAGAAAAGTGCTTGTCATTATAGTCTGTAAAAACCTTGATGATCTATCCAAAGCAATGTAAGACTTCAAAAAGTCTTACAATATCCTTTTGGAGCTTATTTAAAATACTACATAATGGAAATAATAAATTTTGAAGTTCATATAATTGAATCCAAAAATAAGGATCTTGTATGATTGTTATAATGTCAGGTGAAAGTGTTTTAGTTGCATTATTGTTGTCTAATAAAAATTGTTGCCATAATAGTCCATTTCGAGAAGTACTTTCTCTTCCAATTTTGGTTGGTAAAAATTTTGTAGCTAACATCTTAAAAAGGTTTACATTTATTATTAAGGAGTGTTTTATTAATTTTATTTAGCTAGTAAATAGTACATACTTTAAGTACGAACTCAGTTTTTAAAACAGAATAAAAACAAAAAAAAAAAAACTGTTTCAATGTATTTCACAGGAGAAATAGTTTGTCCATAGAAAGACCTTTGTTCATTTCATAATAATCCAGTAAAATATGGTGATAAATGGAAATAGCTTACAATATGTATTGCTTTTTTTAATGTTGCTTTAAATATATCAGATGCCTTAAAAATATCACCAAAAACCAAGTTTATTTGATGTGCCATGCAAGGCATAAAAACTTTATTTGAATATTCTACTCTTAGCTAGTGCTTATAAAAAAAAAATTATTATTATATTTTATTTTATATTTAACAATAAGTTAACTAATATGTGTTTAATGCTTATCTTGCAGCTGCATACTCGCCAGCAGAATCTGACACAAAACAATTAATTTTTATACCCTTTAGATCTGCATCATCCATAATATTTTTAATAAGAATTTTCATATTTTCAGTCTTTGATCATTGATCACTAATATCGCATGCATTTCAAACCAAGAATTCACCTTTAAAAGTGATCAATATAATGCCAAAAAGATGCTCCTGTTTAATATTCATCCAGCAATCAATATTGCTATTACTTTAATTTTATCTGCACATGCGTCTTGTAAGATTTTCTTAGTTAGCTTTTCTGAGTATTTTGAAAGAATCTGATCACTGATTGCTTATCGATTAGGTAGCTTTAAAGCTGGTGCAATATAATTAAAAACATCTTGTATTTCTTGATTTTTCATGAATGTAAAAGAAAGGCTATTGGATACTATTATATGTAATATTAAGTTTTCAAGATGTTCTTTATCTTTACTAAACATTGAATGCAAAACAAAACTAGTAATAGATTTTTGATTTTGTTTTTTTGGAACAAAATTTTTGATAAGTGATGAGTTGGTTTTTGAGATTGTAGAAGATGTGATAGTTTTGTTTTCAGACACAAATTCAACATCGGTCACTACTAATTTATCAAGCAAGTAATTAATATCATATATAGTACAAACCAACTATATTTATATAATTAATATAGTTACCTTTTTCATTATCCTTTTTCTTAGTATTCTTTTTAACATCTTCAGGCACAAGTCATGCAAGAATCTCTGAAACCTCATCTGTACTATATTCGGCTCTAAAATTTGGACAATTTCTAAGGTGACTCTAGCATAATTTTGTCTTGTTTGAGACAAAGCACTTAGGGTTTGTAAGTGCAATAGGTAATATATATTTTTGAATATATGATAAACAAACTGCCTTTTTATTAGCCTTTGGATTATCTGGCTTTGCTAATTGAAAAAATTCTTGAAAGTTATATTCTTTTCTGCCCATTATTGTGAACGAAATATACTATATTGAAAGAGAAAATACATATTTAGAACAAGAATTTATAAGATAATATTCAATTTTTATATATGCAAACCAACATACTTAGCACAATGATTCATTCTAATTTAGTAATACTTTTCATCTTTTTATTTCCATTTGTGAAATTACCATCATTAACATTCAATATCATGCAATACTTACAAAATGTTTCAATTTCTTTTACTTGATCTAATGCTATTTTTTTTATTTTTTTTTATTTAATTTTTTTTTTATTTAATTTTTCTTTATTTAATTTTTTTTTATTTAATTTTTCTTTATTTAAATTTTTTTTTAATTGTTTGTTTTTTTTTATTATTAGCATGTTTCTTGTTCTTCAATGTTCTTTATACATTACTTGTGCTTCGATTTGAGTTATAATTTTGGCCAAGTCTTCATGAAAAAGTTCTAACTGCTCTATTCATTATTCATATAATATAAATAAAAAATAGCTCTGGTTATACAGTAAAATTTTTTTGCATTATAAAGAAATTATTATAAATAATTATTGTGAAGTACTTGGTTTTTTGCCTATATCATTGTGATTTTTTAGCTTTCAGTTAACAATGTCTTATTTTAACTCTATTATTTTTTTTTGTCTTTTATATACATACGTACGTATATGAATTTGACTATCTTTTACTATAAAATGTACAAGTACTGCATATGTATATAAACTTTATTGATTTAACCAATAGCAAGTCAATTGTATTATATAAACCTCTAGCATATAAACACTAACATCAGAGAACCAGTGTCAGTGTTTTGTTCTCTTCTCAATTGGATACATTGTGTGACCTATGAACAGCTTAGTCAATAAAAGGTAGTTAGATTTGGTGAGTGGTGTGTTTATGATTGTAGGTATTATTATAATAATAGTAGAATATTTATTATTAGAAGATAAATTCTATTTGAATCACGAACACTCTATCTTCTTCATAGGGCTCAAGGCCTTTATTATATACTTTTGTTTATATAGGGCATATTATATATTTGATTCATGATATATTGCTTATACTACTTATAATGTCTATACTAATTATACTGATGATAATGTTTATATTAATAATATCGATCATATTGTTTATATTAATTATAATGTTCATACTAATTATTATAATTATACTCTTGATCTCACTAACTCTCTTTATTACACTGATATCCATTATTATCCTGATGCATAAGATACATAGTATACAGTGAATACAGTATACATTGCATATACTGCTGTTAAACCTATTTCAGATAGTGATCGACATACCCATTCCTGATTACAAGCTTTCAGGATTACAGTCCTATGGCTCACAATACATAATTACCAAAATGATCCAAATGACCCAAATAATACTAGTCATTTTAAAATAACCCATATCATTTGGTCATGAGTCATTTGCAAATGATCTAAAATTTGAATGACCATAATGACCAGTTATTTTAAAGTTATTTTAGGTCATTAGTCATTTAAGCAAATGACTAGGTCATTTACCATCACTGATCTAGAGTAGACAAATATGCAAAAAAAAAGAGACAAGCAAGTAAATATATATTTAAAAGTAAAGGCTTCTGCATAATCTATTATATAAATATTAGCAGAAGCCTTCATCTTTTTAAATATATACCTTTTTTTCATCCAAGCCTCTCTTCATTTAAGCCAGCATCTGAATCAGAATCCAGACCTTGATATCAAAAATGACCTCCAAATCAGTCTCAAAGCAGAGAAAAAAAGATAATCAAAATAGTCTTCAACTAACACTCAAGGCAAAACAAATAAGAAAGCCAAGATAATCATTAAACCAGAATCTAAGACAAAGTAAACAAGATTATCAAAACAGTTTCTAAAAGGCTACAAAGCACCAAAAACAAAAACTAGATAACAGTTTATTCACATCTAAGTAATACTTTACTTATAACTAGATAACAACTTAATATAACTAGGTTGTAATATATATATATTACAACCTAGTTCTTTAGAAAACAGAATATATAACAAAAACAAATCTTTTAAGACAAATATGCTAATATATGTTTTGCCAAATGAATCTAAGAAAAAAAGAGTAAAGTATGTTTAGTAAATCTTAGAAAATAATTATTATATTAAAACAGTTAAAAAAAATATTCAAAAAAGAAACCAATTAAATAGAAATAGATTTTGATTATAAATATAGCAAAGATACAACAATAAACAGAATTAGAAGAAAAGAAGATAAATAGCTTAAACTTATTTCAGAAGAGAATAAGAGTAAAAGTCAAAAAACAGAATAGCAAAAAAAACACAATACTAAAAAAAATGAAGAAAATATAAAGTAAATAAAATTGAAACAAAACAAAAAAATAAATAAACATCTTACAAAAAATAAAGAAAAAAAAGAAGAAGAATATAAAGACATGAATTAAGCAAAAACAAAAAAAAAATATAGAAACCTTACAGACAAATAAAGAAGTAGTAACAAATAATTATCTAATGATATAAAATTTGCCAGCAGGCATTAATACAGAAAAAATAGAATATATATGCAAAAATATTAGAAATGCCAAAATAAACTAAATCAAAGGTCCAAATATAAAGTGCTAGTAGTAATATGTACAGAAAATCTTAAAATAGAAAATATTTTATAAGTATTGCCAGTTGGTATTCACAAATTTACAAGAGTAACTAAAGGTAATGAAAATTACAGTTTACAAGACTTGCATAGCTAATTTACTTCAAAACTATTAGAGCTATCAAAAAATGCATTAGAAGTTCTATTACTATGATGTTTAAGAAAAAGAGTTGCAAAGTTAGTATACATTTCAATGAACAGAAATAGTAACCAAAAAAGATTATAATGAAAAGCATGAGTGCTTTGCTAATTGGCACATTCATATTTTTCTGACCGATTTTTTGGCTGCGGGAGTGCAACATAAAAAGTGCAGTTGAGAATTAAAAGATTGTCGAGGTAAAAGTTCAGGTTGTTGGGAGCATGCTTTTGTTTTGGCCCATTCTTGACCGTATGGTCAGGTTTATGTGAAGAAAATAATGCAACTAAAAATTCTGACGGTCAGTCTATCAAAACCACCAAGCAGGTTCTTAATAATAAACTTCTATAAAAGATCAATTAATCCAATCCCTCGAAGCCCAAATTCAGGAATTATCAGCCAAATTAGAGGATTATTCCCAGGGTGAAATAAAAATCCTCTTTTCAGATAAAGTCAACTCTCAAAAGGTAGCCCATAAAGTCAAACCCCGAACTTTGTGGGAAAATAATTATTTTTATATCAGAAAAGAAGTACAGACCAAACTAATAAGATTTAACAATCATTTGCTTTTTGGGCAAGAAAGCTTAAAAGAAAAAAAAAAGTAAAAAAGTATATTATAGAAAATATAGTTAAATCTTTAATGCAAAAAATAGAAACAAAAAAAAAGACTAATGAAATAAAATATATAAAAAAAAAAGAAAAAATAAAAAGAGCATAAGAATAAAAGACCAAATAATAGAAGAAGAAAGTAATAACCAAAACCAAGATACTGAAAATAGAAAAAGATATAGAAGTATAAATAAAAAGAAAAAAAAATTTTAAGCAAAAAACTAATATAAACAAGACTTAATAGCAAAAAAAGAATACTTATATAGGAGATGTATTAGGTTAAATTTTGAAAAGACTAAAAAAATTAAAAGAAATAAAAGACTTAACAAGAAAGAACATAACCAAATGCTTCTAAAAATGCCTTAGTTGAACTTGTAAACATAGATAAGAAAATTAGAGAGTTTTTGCAAAAGAAGAAAAGAGTTTTTAAAAACAAAAAAGAAAAATGTCTCCTTATCTAAAGAAAAAAAAAGCAGAAAAAAAAAAAAAAGTAAATATAAAAATAAAACAAGAACAATTAAAAGAAAAAAAGAAAAAAAAATCAAAATAGTATGCCATAATGTTAATTGTTATAATGGTGTTCAACCACCATCTTTCTTAGTAAATAAGAGAGCTAGCACTTGCATGCATATAGGTGAGATTTATATATTAGATATATTTAGTATTAATTTTTACTCAAGATATATACTAACTAACTTTTATTATCTTTTCACTTTATTTATATGTATATCTTTGACTCTATTTTTCTTTACATCACAAATTTGTCATATGCTATTTAACTCTTTTATTTATTATGTAATAAATTGATCACACAATATTTAACTTCTCTTAATTGCATATTTATTATGCAGCTTAATTGATGCTTAATTAATTTTTAAATTTTATTATAATTAGCCTAACCAATCCTGACTAATCATTCTTTATGATTTAATCTATAACCCACATAACCATAAAACCATATTTTGAATATAAGATTATCAAGTTTAATTATTATTTATTTACTTACTATACTTGCTTATTTGTTTGTCTTATATGTATTATACCTAACCTTCTTCTATCATTATTTCTCTCACTATATAATCTAGAGCTCGAATTTGCTTGAAGAACTGATCTTGACTAGAACAGAAGCTAGACCCTTTTTGACCTTCATTCTTGAAGTCAACACCTTCTATGATCAGTTTAGCTTTTACAAATTTTAGTTTTTTTCATAATTTCTTGACTCTATTTCTGATAAAGGCTTTATATAGCTCACATTTATCTACTTCTGCCAAGTAGTACTAACTATGCTTCTCTATTTTATTTACTATATAGGGTTCATTCTATTAATAGTCAAATTTTCTTAGTAACCTATTAAAAATAAAATTGTAAACAAGCACTAAGTCTCCTATACTGATAGGCTCTTTATTTTTAACACTATGCTTGTTGTAAAACTCCTTCTACTTTATCTTTACTATATCTTTCTTCTTTTGAGCTTCATTTAATTCATGCCTCAAACCTTTCATTTGTTTAATTTAGAATTCAAGTAATTTATCAGTTGTTTATTACCTCTTGGTTATCATAACCTGATAACTTTTTATTATTAATTTTACAGGTGTAATTGCATCATAACTATAAACTAACCAGAAGGATGAATATCCCAAATCATTTACAGTAATGTTTATGGCTCAGATTGCTTCATGCAGATATTTATGCTACTTGTTTTACTTTTTAGCATATAACTTTCTTAAAATCCTGGTCAACTTCTGGATTGTTCTTTTTGTCTTTCTATTTGTTTCAGAGTGATAGCTATCAAAGAAGCTATGATTAGTTTCAAGCTGTATAGAGAGCTTATCTATTATCATGTTTTTAAATTCTGTTTTATAATTTGAGATTAGTTCTGCAAAGCACTTATGCTATAATATGACCTTTTCCCACAAAAATTAGGCTATATTCTGAAAAGTCTTTCTTTTCAGAACTCAACTCTTTACAAAACCTGTCAAATTTTTAATAGCAATAACTATATGTTTATGCCTAGTGGATGTTCATGATAACAGCCCTATGTAGTCAATATAAATTTTGTTAAAGATCTAACTTGTTGCCATCATATATATAGATTTAGGTGCCATTTTTGGTGCACATCTTTGATATGCTTCACAGGATAAGATATACTTTTTAATATCCTTATATACTACTTCTGTTGCCTATATGTAATTTATTAGGATTTTTCGAGTTACTGAATTTATTCCCTAATGTTTTTCTTCTTCTGCCAATTCCTTATGATTTACTTTAAGAATTCACATCTTTTCTTCATCACTAAATATTATTCTTTATGATGGTTTTCTTTTTTCTGCTCTTCTGTATAGTTAATCATTAATTAGACAATATTTTTATATTTTTTGTTGAAACTGTTTTAAATCCATACTGCTTATGTTAGAGAGCCAAAAATAGGTTTGCAAATAGTTGTAAACTATCTTCAAATCTGTTATCTTAATATCTTCTAGGTTTACGCATATTATTATTGAATCTATAAACTTCTCATTATTATTTGTCTTATTTTCAGAAGAGCCAAATAATTTGAATATCTTATTTGCATTTTCATGTTTCCTATTTGGCTTATATCAGATGCAGAAGTTAAAAGATTGCAATGCCAGGATCTATCTTATAAGTTATCCTTTTAATATTACTTTATTAAATAACCAACTTAAGGCCTAATGATTCACCTATATATTGAACATAGTACTAGCCATATATCATTCATTTATATTATAGCCAAAGACTATATTCAAACATTCTTTTTCTGTTACAATGTAGTTAACTTTATGCTTGTTTAATTTTTGTAACTCAAAAGATACTGGTCTTATCTTCTGTGTCTCATCTTTTTGTTCTAACCACACTTAGAGACAAATTCCATCACATGCCCTTTGCCAATTCAGCTCTTTTAATACAGTTTTATCTAGCAAAAAAGCCTTTAAGATACAGAAAGCTTCATCTTGTGTTTTACACCAATAGAACTTAACTTCTATTCTTGTCAAGTTTGTTAAAAGTTTTGTGATTTTGCTAAACCTTTTTATAAATCATCAATAATAGTTTATTATCTCATAAAGAATTGTACTTGTTTAAGAGTTGCAAGTTCCTTCTACTCTCTGATCTTTTCAATTCTTGCTGAATCTACTCTAACTCCTTCCTAACTAATCACAAAACTATATATGTGCAACTTCTTATATAAAAGAAAGCACTTTTTTACTGCAAACATCAATTCAGTCTTCTTAAATTTTTTTGCCAATTTGATGAATATTTTAATATAGAACTCTTTTATTCTACTGGTTCACAATCCAATATTATCTTGGTATGCTGTTACAACTTTCTTTTATTCTTTTCTTTCTAATATGATGTTTATTAAATGCTAAAATGTTTTGCTAGCATTCTTAAGACCTATGCATATCACAGCATATCGAAGTGTGCTCAATGATGTTAAAACAGCAATTTTATCTTAATCTTCCTCTCAGATATAGATTTGCCAGTATCTCTTAAACATATCTATGCATGAGTACCAATCATGACTGGCTGCCTTTTCAAGAATATCTCTTATTAATGGCAATAGATAACTATCTTTTATAATATGTTTGTTGAAGAGTCTTATATTACTGATGATACAAAAACAATCTGTGCTACCCTCTTTTTTTCTTACTAGAAAACAATAATATATATTGTTATGTTCTCTTTTCCAATAACCCATACTTCAACATCTTCTTTAAGTGTTCTTTAAACAATTTGGCATGTTCCAAGTTGTTGATTCATATAGGATACATCTATGTTAGAGGTATTATCTTTCCACTTGTATATATCTCATACTGAACCAGATCTGTTTTTTCTATCTCAGATAAGTCAAAAGCAAACATATTTGGTATTTTCTTAATCAACTGTTCTCATAATCATTGTTTTACTATTTTAGATAGAGAATTACCAATATTCATCATGTTGGAGTTTTCTTTTGTATGCTACATTATTAACTCTGGCTCTATCTCCTTAATTGTTTCATCTTTCTTTTTGTTTTTCTTTAACCAACATATCACTTTTTTTTTATATTTTTGACTAATCACATAATCTATGTCTGTATTACTGATTTTTCTTACTATTAGGTTATTAAAATTTGAGCCTCCATACAAAATGTTATCTAAGTGTCATTTTGTGCTTCTAGGATTCTGTATTTTAATTCCTATCTGTCACACTTCCAACAAATCTTCAGCATTATTTTTTTCATCATTTTTACTCCTATTATCATTATTTATCCAACTGTCTGATACTACCAAGACTATAAATACTGCCCTTTCTTCTTCTGATTCAATATTACATCAAAGTTTGTTGTCTTTCTATTTTAAACTGCATTTGGACATAGCCAACCAGAGCATGTCAAGTAATACATCAAAACTTGCAGCTTCTATGATATAAAACTTCTAATATACAACAATACTCTTCATATCCACTTTAATATTTTTTATATACCCCACAAATTTACTCAACTGATTATCTGCTATACATCCCCTTTTGGTAGCTAATTTTTAAAAAAAGCTATGTTTTTGAGTGTATCTTTCATGCATCAGGTTTAAAGTGACCCTGGATTTACAGATACTAAAACTGTTTCTCTATTGATTTTAGATATGCTCATTAGTATATTACCTAATTTCAATTTATTATTTTCAAAAACCTCTTATATGATCCTGATCTTTGCATTCATAAAAAGAACTTTATTTGCTCATTTCTTCCTTGTTAGCATCTTGAGTACTTCACTATGGGCCTTGAAAAATCATTTGAATAGTTGACCCAATGTGATAACTATTTCTTTTTCAGCTATTAGCTTGAGAATATTAATTTCTTAACTCAGCTCAGCCAGTAGTATATACATAACTGATCCTTTAGCGAAAGCCTTATTATTATTTAAACTAATAGGTTCTATTAATTTCTTATGCTTCCTCTTTTTTAATACAGATTTTATTTCATCTATATTTGAATACTATCTTTTACCAAGACTCTTAATATTGAATAATACTTTTTTTTATTTATATGTATCATAAGGTATTCATCTCCTTTCTTCAATACTTTTTTTATGATTTTGAAAAACCTTACATTGGCATCTTTTATGTCTAGACTCTTCATCTGTTTATTCTTAGTTAAGTATAACCTATATAGATCGATTCTTGTTTGACTGATTAGGGCAATCACATGACAAGTGTTCTTCTTGATTGCACATATAGCACCTTCAAGACAAATTCTTTTTCAGATTTATATTTACTTTGGTTTGTGCTGCATCTGAAGGTAAAAACTCATGTCAAGAAAGGTCATATCTCTTTTCTATAAGAGTTCATATGTCTTTTAACAACTCTACAATACTTGTTTTTATTTGGTCTAATCTTTTTAAATTTGAAAAGTGCTGATTACTGATATAATTGATCTTCCTTACTTTCTAAATAGCTGAGAATTCTCTAGCCTCTCTTTTAACTAGCTAATTCCTTTTATTGTTAACAATTTAAACTAAACTTTTATTAATATATTTCTTATTATAATCATATTTTTTTATCTTAACACCAATTTTTTTGCATCTTCATACATATTTAGACACAAATCAATAACTCTTTCTCTATATAGGCTTTGAAGACCTTAAATGTACTACTTTCTTTTTTTAAGGTCTCTCAATTAATTCTGTATTTTAGCAATATATGCATCAAAGCAATTGGTATACATCTGAACAGTATCTTCTGACTTCTGAACTATATTTTTTAGATGCTCCAACTTTGCATTGATGCCAGATGAAGTTTCTCATTTCTTTATTATGGCTGCTCTCAGGTCCTTCCAATTTAGATTATTTATTCTTAACTGTATTATTGATGGTTTTAATTTGTCTGCTATATGAAGTACAATTATCAGACTCCTTTTGTTGTCATCTTAATCTTTTGACATAGCATAGACTTCAAAATAGATTAGAAATTCTTCAATATTCTCATGCCTGATATAAATAGGTTTTGTTGGATCAAATACCTTTATAATCATTGAGGTTGTAAGTTGAACTAGGGTATTATACAAGTTCTTTCATCAGCATTGTCTGTGTGGGTTTCTATAAGGTAATCAATTATAATATTATTTAAGTTTCCTTATGCAAAGTTTCATTTAACTGGTTTTTTTTTTTTTTTTTTTGCACAGTACCTATTTATGTCCTGGTACTAGGATGTTTTATGTAACCTATAGATTCTTGTTTTTTTTTCAATTATTTATAATTAAGTTAAACATTATTTAATTATTGATTAGTTAGTAGTTTTGATTACTCAGAAGTAATATTAGTGTCTTTTTCTGTTTTATTAAATCTGCCTAGGTTTTTCTGTCATAATAGTGTTTAATCACTATCTTTCTTAGTAAATAGAAGAGCTAGTACTTGCATTGCATGTAGATAAGGTTTATATGTTAGATATATTTAGTATTAATTTTTACTCAAGATATGTACTAACTAATTTTTCTTGTTTTTTTGCTCTATTTATATATGTATATCTTTGACTTTATCTCTTTCTATGTCACAAATTTGTTACATGCTATTTAACTCTTTTATTTATTATATAATAAATTGATCATATGACATTTAACTTTCCTTAATTGCATATTTATTATGCAGCTTAATTGATGCTTAATTGATCTTTAAATTTTATTATAATATTTTGATTAATCTTAACTAATTATTTTTCATGATTTGATCTATGATCCATATAACCATAAAACCATATTTTGAACATGAAGTTATTAAGTTCAATTATTGTTTATTTATTTACTATACTTGCTTATTTGTTTGTCTTATATGTATTATACTTGACTTTTCTCTATCATCATTCCCCTTACCATATAATCTAGGGCCTGAATATGCTTAAAGAACCAATTTTGATCATGATATTAATGAACTTAAAGCCAAAGAATAGAAACTTAAAAGTTTGCTAAGCTAGGCAGAAGAAAAAAAAATCACAATATTAGAAATTACAAAAATGAATCTTACAAAAAAAGAAGAAAGATTTTTAATATATTGTTATAAAACAAATTATTATTATTTTATTATTATTAGTTATTATTATTATTTTATTATTATTATTATTTAGTATTAGTTATTTTATTATTGTATTATTAATATTATTACTAGTAGTTACTAGAACTTTTCAGTTAATTAGTAATCACTTAGTCACTTAGTCACTTAGTTACTTAGTTACTTAATGCTTATTTGTTTAGTTACTTAGTTGCTTAATTGCTTATTTGCTTGGCCACTTAGCCACTTAGCTGCTTAGCTTACAGATATATAAACTCTGCTAAATTTTTCAAATGTGATTAAGCAACAGATACCTCTCTTCTCTTTAATATTATAAACACATCTTGGGATTCTTTAGAAACAGAAATCTAAGAATAGCCTTTTCTGTTATTACTTTAATAAATGGCTTTTGACTATAAACTGTATTAATACTTCTTCTCTAGAGTAATTTCTATAGGCAAGGTTTATCTTCTTTTAGTAAAATAAAGTAAAGTTATTAGTATTGTATTACCTTTTCTGAACTGTCTCAAAGAAGGGTATAGTTTTTTAATAATGTCTAACAAAAGTTATACTTCTCTCTTAGATATCACATATACTCATAAAGAATTTTCTGTACTGTGTTATTATTATAGTATAAAATTAAGAAGGCTTTTATCTATAACATTTGGTGCCTTTTGGTGAAAAGGCTAAATTTGTAGAAAAAACAAGTCACCCTAGATGAAACATTTCTGAATATATTAGAAAAGTTATCCTGACAGAGTCTCAGACAAGTATTAGTTATCTTAGCAAGAGAACCAGATGAGTATTAGTTATCTTGGCAAAAGACACAGATAAGTATTAGTTATCCTAGCAAGAGACTCAAACAAGTATTAGTTATTCTAGCAAAGTTCTGGATATAAAAATACCTCTTCTTTTATAATTTATACTGCTGCTGAACTCTACAATAAGAATATCCAAAGCTATCAACAAGTATACTTAACTGAATCTCATCTTGCAGTAGACATACTTCAAGCACAGTATTCAGATTTATCTTGTCTTCAGTATTACTTCCCTCAATGTACTAGCCTTTGCTCAGATTTTGAATGATTTTGGACTTGGTACTAAACTAACTTTATAGCTCAACATTATTCTTTCCAAACTCAGAACAACTTTACTGTTCTTACTACTTCATATCCAAAATGAATTACAATTTACCTTTGCATTAAAAATATTATTTTTAGTTGTTGATACCAACAAGACATTGGTGATTCTAGAACAATTGCTTTAACTCTAATTAGAAGATATACCAACTTCTTTCAACTTCCTACCTTATTTTTTGAATACCAAAATGCTTTTGACCTTTATCTTGATGTTTCTCTAAGTTTTAGTTTTGAAGAACCAGAAGAATTTAGTCAACATCTTGAAAATTTAGGAAGCCCTATTCTACCACCTACTACTAATATTACTTTTACTGATAATATTCCCTTCTTATATAACTCAGCAGATAGCTTAGTTCTTTATAGTAAATTAGTTATATCTACTAAACTTTCTAAAAGTTATTATACTTCTAATTGGACTTCACAAATCCCTTTACTATTTACTAACAATTTAGAAACAGATGAATATATTACTGCTTCTGTAGACCTTACAGAAACCTTTAGCTCAAATCATACTCACTTACCTCAACAAACTTTTAAAAATAGTTCTTCTTCTTTAACTCCATCTCAACTTGCTCTTTCTTAATCTTAACCTATCACTGTCCAATTTCAAACTATTGTTATTCAACCTCAATATCAGCTTTTTCCTTCACTTCTACTTATTCTTGATAACTCCTCTAATCTATTTGATAACATGGCACAATAGGCTTTACAAGATGCTGCACAAGCTATGACTAACCTTACTAAAGCTCTAAATAGAAGTGAAAAAGCTCTTATAAAAGCTGACTTCTTTTATAATGATCGAACTCAAAACTCAGAACAATGGCTTGAAGATTTTTGAAGAGCTGCTACTGCTAATAAGTGGGATGCTGCTTGAAAATTAGAATTTACATCTGTATATTTAAAAAGAATTGCACTAGATTGGTGGCTAAGTCTTAACCCTGTTTCAAATACTTTTGATAATAATATCAACCAAAATAGAAGCTTTAAACATCTTTTTAGGCTTTGTTTCTACACATCTAAACAAAAAGCTATTTGACAAAAACAGTTTTTTGACATTAAACAAAGCCCAGACACAGTAGATGCCTATGTCAATCATTTTAAACAATTGAAAAGATGAGTTAACTCTGGTAATGCTTTCTCTGCTAACTTCACCAAACAATTATTTATTCAAGAACTATGCTTTGAATTTTCTATCAACATGAAAGCTAGTGAATCTGCTAATCTAAATGCTACTATTACTACTACAAAACAATGAGAAACTGGACATATAATAGCTGTTAGCACTATCACAAAAACAGACCAAGCTATCAAATAACTAACAGACCAGATTGCTAAACTTAGTATCAACTTGGCATAGCAACAGCAACCATCCCAACCTCAATCTGCTAATTTTGCAACTACACCTAACTCTAACAGACCTCAAGTCAAAGATCTATACTGCTATCACTACTGTGGATGAACAGAACATTTTATTGCTAAATGTAAAACCAAATAAGCTGAACAATAATTCAACCAAAGAGACAACTATAAGAGAAATAATAAATGCAACCAAAGATCTTGTTCTTGAAGTTATAACAGATCTTATTATTAAAACCCTTCTAGAGAAAGAGAAAACTCTAAAGAAAGAAGCAGATACTCAGACTCCTATAATAGTGATAGAAGAAGAACTAGTTTTTGCTCACCCTCACTCTATTATAGAGATGTTAACTACCTTGGCCATAAAGATTCTCCTTCTATTTTTTCTGTTACAACACCAAAGAAATAGGAACAGTTCCTTGACAACTCTTTTATTCATATAGCTATATCCACATATCTGTATAAAGAAGCTAAAAATGCTAACCTAGTCCAATCACCTACTTATACTACTCCTGTAAAATGCAACTTTTGACTTAGAAACAGATTATACCAAGCTATTATCAATAGTGGTGCTGCTATTAGCATGATCACTTATTAGACTGTTTAAGAATTAGGACTTAAAATTAAACAAGCCTCTACTAGCCTAATTTTTATAGCAACTAGTACTTCTATATACCCTTTAGGAATTATTAAGGATTTTTCTGTAGAAATTGAAGGAATAACTATTCCAATCATTGTTAAAGTTGTTCCTGCTACTTTCTACTTCCTTTTTCTTGGAAATGACTAGTTCAAGAAAGTTGGTATCAGTTATAACTAGAAAAATAGTTGTTATTTATTCAAGTAAAATAACAAAAAGGTTTTCATACTAACAACTTATGAAAGTGATCATGCCTTATCTGCCTAACTAATAGTAATAGACCCAAAAGAGCTCAACCTCTATAAGCAAAAATTCTTTACTTCTTATAAAGCCTATACTGCTTAACTTATTTCAAAAACAGACAATAAAGAATAAACTATTTACCAACCTCAATGACAAACCCAAACTGCCTTATCTTGTATATATGGCAACTGTAAATCTTCTGACTATCTCTTTGCTAACTGCTCTCAAAATACTTGCAACTAATATTATCATAAAGGATATATCATTGTTCACTACCAACTGCAAGCCTTTTGAAGAGAAACTTGTAAGAATTGTCAAAGCTCTGAACACTTTTATTGACAATATCTTGAAAATATTTGTTATAAATGCAACTTAATGGGACACATTGCTGTTGATTGTCTCTTAGCTCCTCTTA